ACATTATTCAACCTTTTCACAGTTCKATTGTATTTCCTACGGATGTCAGGTCCATAATATGTCCAACATGTTTTATAAAGCAAAATATGTTGATAATGTGCGAGAGATTGCTCTCTTTCTACTTACTTGKTCAGATTGTGTGTTTTCTTCCATCGTTCTCTTCAGGATGTCSAGTTTCCTCCACATCACAACTCATCAGTGCAACACACAAATAGTAGAGAACAAGAGTCTCACACATCTTCAGTACTTGTAATAAATACATCAACCGAACAAGTTCGTTTGGGTTTGCCATTATTTTTTTTGTTCTCTACCGGCGCCGTAGTCCGTCCGTGTGAGTTAGACTGTGCCTGAACGTTTCTATTTATGTACTTTAACCACTTAATCCGTGGACAATCACAAAGTTGGACCACACGACTTGTGAACAAAAATTCTATTATTTCGGTTCGAAAACCTGAGAGAGGGACTTTGAAAGCTACTTCAAAAAATAGGCAATACGTAAGCAGGCAATATATTTGTTGTGTGTGACGTATGTTGATYGTTGTGTACTTTGTATTCACACTTGGCAAACGTTTTGTTAAGGTTATTGGTAGATCGATCTCAGATCAGTTTCATTTAGATTGATCCAACCGGTGTGTGAACTAGTCTCCCCCACAGTCGCTTTCAGTGTCCTCACGCAACGCTTTCTCCTCTGAGCTACTCGCGCCTTGCGTGACGACACTGAAACCGGCTGTGGGGAGACTAAGTGTGAACTAAGTGTGAACGGGCTCACAGATACTAAGCTGAGCATCAGGCTCTCCTCAGGCCCCTAACCTCTCCCCAGGCACCCTGTATGCCTCTCCCTGTAGGCCGGTTACACAGATACAGAACATTTGAGCACAATAAAAAGAGCGAAGAGCACTAAGGTGACAATGTTAATCGATCATTAAATCTCACAAGAACTACGCTTTTCAGGACAAGACATCTTTCTAACCGAACTTATGAGTTTCCTCAGCTTATAGTGTTTGAGAGAACCGCTTTTCTGTCATCCTGGTATATAATATACAGAATATAGCAAGACCATATCACAATACGCTATCATATTCAACAAGTCATGATCATGTTCTATGTTCTTTATAAATAGCCTCGGGCTAATAGCGCAGCCCACTGATTATTAGAGATTTGAACAAACATTGCATTCTCAGTTTAACCGCTACGAGGATTATACGAACCGATTTTATCATTTTTACTTAAAGTTACAACAATAACCCATGTAAACTAAGATCAACTGCGATCGGCTGTGAAAATTATCTGCTGAAAGTAAAATTGTAAGTATGTTTGTCCGAATCTTGCCTTTGTCTTCTTTTTTATGACCTCACGACTGCGATGTGCTATTGTCATATACTGACATCTTTAGGGGAATCCCCTACTCAGGAAGCTATCCTATTGGTTGAAATTCTGTCACACCATCGCAATTGTCTCGAAGTTCACGAATCTTAACAATATGCAAATCTGATCAACGTTTACACATGAAGGAACAACAATGCTGAGAAGGTTGAATAACAAGCTCAAAATGATAGATTTTAGGGTTACGTTTTCCAACTACACTATTTTAGTCCTCGGGATCCATGTTTTGGATTGAGTGGACAAAAACGCATGTGACCACGTTTTGGAGACAAGWCAACTTACTTATTCCAAAGAAACGGTTTGAAGGTAATATTTTGATGGTTAAATCATCATATCTTGGCCTTAGTTGATTTATGTATTATATTTTGTACCTTTGAATCTCGCTTCTTGCACAAAAATCCACTTTATTGACCTTAAACTGCTGTTCGTTTTGTACTTCGAGAAGTTTTCTTTGTGTTCTTGGGCTCTCCTTCCTCCGCTAAACTCAACTTCTCAACGCCAATTTGATGGTGGAATTTTTTACAAAATTTGCCAAAATACAAAACATCTTTTCATTGAGATATCATTATTAGTTATTAATAACAATAGGTGTGTAGTGACTAGACTGAAATGAATCCTGCAGGGATGTTGTTTTCTTCTGATTTGACCAGTCGACGTCATAAACTACAGTGTTAGTTTTAATCATTCAGTTTAGATAAAAGCTTAGCACTAAAATTCTACTGTTACAATATATGAAAGTACTACTGCTTTGCACTACAATTACAATCTGTCAAAATA